TCTTAAAGGCCAAATACATCAAGTTCTACAAGCTACACAAAGAGGTAAACTCCTAACTAGTAATTTATGTTGCTTATGTGAATTGTATTATAGTTGTAGTCTTAAAGCTTTGGAAACAATATTGCATGTATAATTAGAGAAAACATAGATCCTAAGCTTTTAGGGTTGAAGGTGCACCATAGGATGTTGTAGTGTACTGAAACCCAACAGTGGTATCAGAGCCTAGGGTTGTTTTCCACTATACTTGATGTTTTATTAGTTTTCAAAGCAAAAAAATCAATTTTTCTGCATTCTGGATAGTGAACTCACCAAGTCCATTGGGGGACTCGCCGAGTCCACTCAGAAAAGTCCAACTCGACGAGTCCAGTTCATGTACTCGCCGAGTTGGTGCTCTAGTCTTTCGAGTTTTTTGGACTATTTTGGATTAGAATCATTACCACAAAATATTTTAGCTCATAAAATGTGATTGTTTTGATAAGGTAATGATGATTTCCATCCAAATAAAAGATAATTTGCAAAGTTTCATGATTTTTATTAGTTTATATGATTAGGCTAATTTCTTGAAACTTGTTTGATATGAATATTCTTAACTTATGAGTTTAGTTAGATCATAAGCAAATTGTTTGATTTTGTTAGTTAAATTTTTTTGATCTAAATGTTTTTGATGAAATCCATAACTTGTCTTCAAGTTATGGAAAGTGAAAAGTCTCATTTTTAAATGTCATCATAAAATGGTTTTATGTCTTCCATAACTTGTCCTCAAGTTATGGAACTTGAAGAGTCTTTTACATAAATGTTTTTATGAACTCCATAACTTGTCTTCAAGTTATGGAATGTCAAGAGTCTTTTCATAAAACATACATTAAACTCATAAGTTATGGATACCAAAAGTTTTTAAATAGTTCAAAACTTGCCCTCAAGTTTTGGAATTTGTAAAGTTTCACTTATGAATACTTTAATTCCAAATTAAATCCTAGAATTTTAAATGTGTAAAATTCAACCCTTATACTATTATAATATTATAGGTTTAATATATATATATATATATATATATATATATATATATATATATATGTGTGTGTGTGTGTGTGTGTCTGTGTATGTGTGTGTAAGAGTAAACTCAGTCTTATCGTTAGTAGGCCTCATTCACGAAGCCGGTCTATAAGGGGGTATCAGGTTACTACCTATAAAATGGCAGTTTAATGGGTGTCCATTCTCACCGACCGCTTCCTTGACTAGTGAAGGGTCGTTAGCCGAATGGGTTTGACAGGACATTTAAATTCTCATTAAAAGTATAATGAGATACTAAGTAACTAAACACTTATAAATTCTCAGTCTTAGTTACTTAGGAACATGTGAATATGGGGCTAACCCATGAAATTGCACTTTGCACCTCGTTAATTCCTTAGTGGAGCGTGTGGTTAACCGACACACTAATCTAGGACTGACAGTGTGTGGCAAAGGATATTTTGATGTTAATCATAAATCAATGGAGCGTGTGTGGTTAACCGGCACATTAATTAGGTGCTTGTAACATTGGGCGTACCAAGCTAATTTGCATGGTTGTTCACACCTTGTTGGTGATCCTCGGCATCCCAGTCACAAACTTGAAGGGATCAATCGAGATTTAAAATTAACATTGAAAAGTTTAATGAATCTCAATGAATCTCAAAGGATCTAGGAATTTCAATCCATTTAAAACTTAACAATCAATATCGTTTTTCATGATGGAAATTGGTAAATCCTCATTTACCTACCTTCAAATATTTTGCAAGTTGGATTACGGCGTCCCTCTTCCAAATTGTAAAATATTGTGTTGGGTCCTAGCCTTGATATTTCATGTTGGGTGTTATATTAATGACTAAAATCAACTAAACTTGAATTTCTCCCTTATAAATGTCTAAGTTCAAACATCTATGGTCTTCCCGAATCTTTTAAAAAAAAAAAAAAAAACTTTCTTTATATAGATGATTTTCCACCAGACGATCAACGTGAAAGATTAATCCCTTCTTCGTGCTATAGTGGAACTTCACTTCCTGCACCTCCTCCAATAATTCTCCCTAACCCACAAGTTCAAGGTCACTCAAAGCCCTATTGGCAGGAAGGAAAGTATGTATGTGCTCACGTCTTGGAGATGAAGTTACATAATGACAAGCTGGGAGAGTTGGGTGTTGAAGTCTCAACGAAGTTGGTTGTTAATTGGGTTCTTCTATCACTTCCTAAGTCATATAGAGGTTTCCCTTAAGAACTACTATAAGGGAGATCACGACATCAACCTTATTGATCTAACATAGTTGCTTGTTGCTACTGAATCAGAAATGGTTTGCTGCACTGATAAAGCAAAATTGATTGGAAGATCTGCTCCCCAAACTTCCGTGGACAGTGACAATGGTAATATTGAAACACTACTAGAAAAACAGCCTTTTACAATGCTCACTGCATGTCGTAAAAGGCTCAGACGACGTGCAAATGCGCGTCAAGGAAGGCCCAGTCATAAACAAAGACGACGCGCTTTTGTGTGTCGTCTATAGACGACGCGCAATTACGACGTGCGTTTACGACACGCAATGCGTATCAAGAAAGACCCTATCATAAAGGAAGACGACACGTATTCGCGTGTCGTAACCTTACGACGTGCGTGTTAATGACACACATTGCGTATCAAGAAAGCCCCTATCAAGAAAGGCCATGTGATAAATGAAGATGACACACATTTTTGCGTATCATAATTGTAAATGTTATATATATATATATATATATATATATATATATATATATATATATATATATATATGTATATATATATGTATGTATATATATGGATTTACTTATTTTCAAATTAAATTTGTATTTAATGTTTCATAATAGAAAATAAAATATCATATACAAAAAATAGAATCCATTGCATAAATTTAATGCCATACAAATAATCGTTCGAATGACAAAGGGGATCCGATTGTACATTGTTATTAAGAAAATGGAAGTATATTGTTATAGTTAGAAAATAAATGAGTACAATGCGCTACGTTTGGTTCCTCTCATAAAGTTTCCATCTTCAAGATTGCTATCCAATAAGCTTTTAGTATTTGCATGTAGAAATTCCATTGCAAATTGGACACCTGAGAGCTCACTTCCAGGAACAGGGAGGTCTCGTGGCTTTGTTGCCCCATCTGCTAAAATAACCGCATCATTCTCTTCACGAAGGCATTCAATTAAGTACACCGGATCGCTTCCTATTTCCAAGACAGAGGAACTGCAAATATTATTACAACTTATTATTTACCAAAAAAACAAACTATATGATTATGATTACCAACCTACAAAAGTGGGCCCTAGCAATCCGGAATTGGGATTTTGTTCCTTCTCCAATTAGATTTAAGCCAAGTGTGGGACTACTGCTTGTAAGAATGCAATGTTGAGGGCAATCACAATTACTGGACCATGGTGTTTGGATAACAACAACAAACCTACATACACGAAACACAATTTTATTATTTCTGGAACCTATTAAGGATATCACTCATTGTAAGAACTAGAAAAGGATGAAAAGTTTTTAGGAAATCATATGGACTTACCGAGCTGCAAGGGTCATCCATGTGTTGTTCTTTCTGCAAATTATACCACATATTTCCGAATTAAATCTGACAGTAATGTGACTGACTATGCTACAAAAAAATGCAAAATTAACTCCTTTTTATCTTTATCACAAACTATTATGTGAATCCGATATGGTTGTATTTTTTTATTCCATATGCAAGTACCCAACAAAGATTCACATAATAGCCATGGATGGCAACAAGCAGGGAAGCACAATGGTATTGCTTTTTTCAACAAAAGCTACAAGTATATGCACAACTAAGAAACCAATAAGTTAAATAAACCTCATCTTTTCAGAAAGTTTCATGTGAAACTGGCATGAGGCTTTTACCTTTTACCATGAAAAGATCACTGAATAAAGGATTTGCAACAGAAGTCACAAAGGGCTTATAGGGTAGTATAATGCACTTACAGTTGTGTTGGTCAACAGCTTAACAATGTGGTAGTATAATGCAGTCAGTGTGTCCCCCTTGTCATTCCTGTTACAATATTTAATTAGTTAATCATCAACATAATTACTTTAAAAGATTAATTTTTTATATAACAAAATAAAGAGCTCACAGGGTGAAAGCAGCAATAAGATTTGGATTAGAGAGGCTAATTCCAACATTTTACTTCGTGAAATTTCCAGTTTTGGCATCAAATGAAACATTGGTTCTTGAGCCAACATTGGTCCCCACCACACTAGAAAAGTTGACTATTGGGTTTGCGGTCAACCCGACACTTATAGTTCAATTATCTTGTTCTCGAGTCCTTTTGGTGCATATCGATAGGCTTGGTAGCCAAAAGTGGTCTCATTTGGGTGAAAACCTAACATAGACATTATGTCGAGCACCTTGTGGGCGTGCATCAGTAACTAACCTAACAGAGACTGATTCGTGTTCATGACGATACCCTCCAAAACAGCTTTATAAGTAGACAAATTAAGTGTGGGATATATCAACCATTAGTTCTGATATTACATAACAAATATATAAAATGAAAAAGCATGTATATGCAGTTGTAATGTAAACGATAAGTGATTATATAGTTTATAAGTTGAACATGTATTGATTTTAAGGGGTTAGAAGAAACATGTTAACGATAAGTAAGTGCATAAAGTTAGGGATAAGCATCTCCAAATCTAAATTTTTTGACCCCAAATAATCACAAAATCATAATCATAATCACTTTTTTTAAACACTTTAAACTTATCATTGGTACTTGAAATCACAATAATTAGTTTAAACACAGGTGAAATGTATTAGCTTTGACCTGGAAAACCAAAGTGTATCTCCTTTATTAAACATATAAGTGATGATCCTTGAGATATCATATGTGATGAGTATATATTCTTAGGAAAAATATATGGTAGATCTACCATGCAGTGTCTTTCTGTAATGAATTGTTGGCTTAAATGCATGATGCTTGATCCTTACAATCAAACAGATCATCCAGAGTGTAAGTCACGTCCAGATAGTGGCCTTTCAGCTATTACAGAACTTGACCTAGGTTATATAACAGGTAACATTCTTTTCATCTCTCCATCTGTATATACATAAACACACACACACTTATATGTTATATGTAAGTTGTAACATATAGTCCCTGAAAGTGAATTCTTGATTATCAGGTCCTCTTTCATCAATATGGAAAGAATGGTGCATTGAATTTGGGATTGAGGCAAATGCTATTCTTGTTGTTCCATATGATTGGAGATTGTCAACATCAAAGCTTGAAGAATGGGATTTGTACTTCCATAAGCTAAAGTTTGTATTCAGTTATTATATGATATGAATCATAATAATTTTGAAACCCATAATTTTTTTTTAATTTCTTTGCAGACTTACCTTTGAAACAGCTTTGAAGAATGTCCCATTGCTGCCACCATCACCTGTGGCAGTAGCCTTCCACATCTATGTGACAATACGAATACTTTCTGTAACCACCATTTATTATTCTTTTCCATGCTTCTATCCTTTTTTAGTACAGTAGGGTTAAAACTTTATTCAATTGGATATTAGGGAATGAGAGTCGATAACATAAGAGCAACCACCATTGATTATGTATTTAGAATCTTTTTTTGATCTGTAGATGTCTACATCTCTGTGTTGGGGTTTCTTTTTGCTGAGAAAGTACAATGCATTTACTTAGTTATTAAAGTCATTTTATGGACACAAGACTTGAAATCAAGAATAAGGTTCCCTCACCACTTTACAGTCACACACTCGCCACAATTCTAGTGGAATATGCTTCTGCAATAAGATGAACATGATACTGTGAGAGATTATGGAGTAATTAAGTTAAGTAGAAGAATTAATAATAAAATATGTAGGTTTACATGTCAGATTTAACATTTTTACTTGGACTTGTTCAAGGTGTGATGGCCTTACCACGGTACTTGGCACAGTTTATATGAAAACTGAAAAACAATATTTTTCAAATTATGTTGATTTTGTTGTTATCTTGAATCAGGGTTTTGAAGTATTAGAGCTGATTGTTGATGTTGAGAACTGTCTTCAGGCCTTTTTTGGGGTTGCAGATGATCTGGATGCAATTATTATTGCATTTAGAACTATTCCCTAACACCTTGAGTTTAGTTTCATCACCATCATCCAGTTTAGATACATCAAGATAGTTTGCAAAAATCTGAAAATACAACAAATTATGAGGTAACATACACTCTAGTAATTTGTACACTTAGAAGGACGATTTACAAGTCTCAGGCACATCAAAAACTTGCTTGAATCACCAACAATGCAAATACATACCAAGAACAATCATTTATTTAGACTCTTCCATTGGTCCCTGCAACCGTTGAAATTATTTTCTTGCACTGCCCTATATCAACATACAAAAACCAATAATCATACTCATACATATATATTAACATGTATTTTGTATATACAAAAAAGAAAACAAACTGAATATTGCCTCTGGAATGCCGAGTAAAGTAGATGGATAAGGCTGAGAGTTCCCTGAATCTTTAGCACTATCCGCCCCATCAACATTATTGCAATCCATTAATATTATATGCCACTCTTTGCATCCTTTTGACTTGCGAAAAATGCACTACACAAACATGTAACAAGCCAAACTTTTATAATATACTTTAAAAAAAATTAAAAAGTTCTCCTTTAACAATTTCCTTTCTAAAGGAATAACCTGATGCAGGAACTTTGAGAGGAACTTTGATTATTCATCATTGATGTATTTGAGGTTGTGGGAACATAAAAGTTTCCGGTTCGAGAAGAATCAGTGGTGCTACTCCCATAACCATCACCTGCAAAGTATATGTATTAAGTACCCCATCAACATTAAAGAGAATATTACAATGACAAAAGTAGATAGAGAGAGAGAGAGAGTACCATGTGACATCTGTTGTTGATGGACATTCACGTTCCCATAATGAAAAGGTGTCACATAGCTTTCTGAGGTTCCTGAAGCATTCATCATAGGTGAATTATTAGGCATCATTCCTAATCTGTTGTTTATTGAGCCATTTGAAAAGCCATAAGCTTTCTGTTGTAAACTAGACCTGATTCCCCCACCCATATGGCTCCCAAGGCTATGTAATATGCGACTGTTCTGGCCACCAACTTGCTGCTTCTAGTTCAGTGGCCCAGATACCATTGTTGACTGAATATTCGATAGCCCAACATCATTGTTGGACATATCTGTTTCCATGTAAGACTGATTAGTATTACTATTATGAAATCCAGGAGTAGGCATCATCTGGCTGCCCATTCTTTGTGCCCCCATTGATGAAATCAAATTGCTTCTGGTTCATGTAAGACTGATTAGTATTACTACCATACTTCTGTATCATGTGAATTATTAGTTGTTTTTGCACTTTACAAGACCAAATAATGGGTAAAACCCAACCTAACATGCCTTCCGAGTTGGATAAAGCTCAACGTTTACACCTCTAGATATATCCACCATTCAATTTTATTTTATCAATTTAAGACAAAGTCTTTTAACTCTCTAGTCTCTAGCAATTAGCACAATATGGTTTGTCTTGGAAGAGCAAAATGTCTTCTTAGCCAAAGCCATGAGGGAATAAATCATCCGCCCTCAAGGGCATAGATTCAAAATTGATTTTTTTTTTTTTTTTGTAAAACCTATCAGTACTGAAACAAATCATCCACAGGAAGTCACTTGCCATTTGAAAACTATCTGAATTGAATTCAAAGACAAATGTGAGCTCATATTTTTGTAGGAATAGGAGTAGCAACTATAAGTATAAGTTAAATTCTCTTTACCCGTGTACCAGAATCATTCACCATTCATAATCCATAACAAAGAGACCAAAACCCTAACTTATCGGCGAAAATAGATAGAAAGAATCAAAATAGTAAACATGTGGATGTGTGTGTGGTGTTGTGTGCGACTGTGAACAACTATCATAATGGGATTATGAAGCAAAAAAGTAGGGGAGATGGATGTCTCACCTGAGACATAAAAAAACGAGAATAAGGGAGATGGAATGGAGCGTACCTGAGATGCTTAGAGAGTAGAATTGGGGATCAACGAAGGAGGAGGAAATCACGATTAATATATGTATCGCTTTTCTAGTTAGGGTTTTACAGAGGAGAATACAAGAAGAATCAAATTCAAAATCAGAGGCTTGAATAAAGGAGAAAGAAGAGAAATTTTTACAATACAGAGGAGTGCACGTTACCAAATAATTCTTCGATTGACTGCAATTTGGAGTCAAACCGATATCGATTCAGCTAGATAATACCAATTTTGATTTCAATTTCATCTACTCCAACTCTTTGTGGCCTATAACACACGGTGTGTGGCTGATGATGGACAACCTGCGAGCTGTTGATCCGAGCTGCTGTTTTATACCCAATGCTTTACCAGTAATACCTTCTCCCGATACGAGCTGCTGGGTTGAGTTCGCCTCAAACAACCCTAAAATCTCTAGATGGAACACATACGAAGCGGATTTAATCATGTAAATGGGCCCGGATCTTCCTTCACATGGGCCCCATGTTTGCCTTGTCTAATTACTGGAAACCATAGTTGAACAAGCAGGTATGTGTCCATTATGCATTTTTCGTTCAATAGTCAAAGTCTTGAACCAATTGATCATCAAAGAATTCTTGATAGTCATCAAGCGGGTTCAAATCTGTTTCCTCTGGGGAAACGATTGGATCAAAACATCCCATGAATACGTCTGTGGAACTAAAGTAGGAAGGTGAAAAATCCAAAAGGGTTGAAGAAGACAGATTAGGACTACTAAAATCAAGATTGTTTTCTTTTATGGATCCAAACATGATGGTATGATCGTCCATAAAAAATTATTTCTTCTTCAAGTCAAAATTCTATAACAATTAACTTCAATATTAATCTAACCTAGGGCTTGTAAACTTGAGCAATCGTTGCAGTCTCTGGTGAGGTGAAGTGAGCTCGAGGTTGTCGGTAGAAAGAGATGAGTCAAGGTCAGAGGTGAGTTGAGGTAGAGTACTCCTTGAAAAAGCCCTAGATAATGATACTTGCACGTCAGCGAGGATGTGAACCTGAAGCAGGCCCTCAATTCTTAACTCTACGCTAGATTACTTGATCTGAGATACGAGCTTGGTTGCGTTATTCTTTTTGGATAAACGAAAGGGATTTTGTAGTGGTGGAGGCGGATTAGGGTTTACATAGAAAATGAGAAGGAGAGATTGAAGGTTTTCGGCTGGTGGCGTGCTTGCCTTGATCGATGTCGACGACCGGGAATGGAAAGTAACGATGGTCGAAGTGTGAGAGAAGAACTAGGTGGCAGTCAATGTCGGCAGGGGGAAGGAAGGAGCGTCGATAATTAGGGCAAGACGGAAAGGAAGAAAAAGGAAGGCGGGGATTTTAATTTTTTAGGATTTCATTTTCCCCCTCAGCTACTAAAGGATGGAAGGCGCGTTTCCATTAAAATTTATAAAGCGACATCCTCAGATGACACACGTTTTATTATAGGTGCCCTCCCTATTTTTTTAGACACTAATTTAAGGGCACACAAAAATACGCGCCCTAAATCCTTAAAATTTATAGAGATATGACATTATTTTTAGATCACACACTTTTGCGTATCGTGAATCAATGTGTATCATAAATTGCGCGTCGTAAAAGACTGTTTTTTCTAGTAGTGAAAGTCCAGAAAAGCTTTCTCTTCCCAATGGAAAAGGATCAACCATAGTCAACCTCGTTGACCAAATGGTAAAGAGAAGGGCTAAGTCTGAGATTGTCCCATGTGCTATTCCGAAAAAGTCTGAATTGCCAAAAGAAGGGGCATTGGTTGCGAAGCTATCATATTTACCTGAAAGATCCAAGCATGGTAAAGTCATAATATTTGACTCTGCTTCAGGTAAGTCAACTATCTAACTCTATTAAGTTCCTATTTGGAGATTCTTAATACATAATGTAATGTAATTACATTTTGATGTTTTAAAGGATCGAATAAGAAAAAGGAAGCTTAAAAGAAGAGTATGTTGAATCTGGTCGCAAAGATGGATTTCAATCGCATGGTTTGATGATCAGATTTTATGAGCTGCTACTTAAGAGTTATGATAGATTGCTTTGAAATTTGTATTAACATATTTTTCATTTGTAATTACATTGTAAGGAAAGTTTTTCCGCATTTTATAAATAAATAAAATTTTGTTTTACTTTATATTATATTTCCTTGTAATCGCATTTGTGAAAATTAATGCCTCTATGTTTCTTTGTTAGCAATATGAATTTGATTCTTTCGTTTGTGGTAGTGTCAAAATTTACCAAATAAAGAACGATTCTCATCACCCAAATTTCAGTTGGGTAGAAACTTGGAATCATGCAACTTGTAGTGTGTGATGAATGAGAACCTTCATCTTTGGAAAATTAAGACTAATTCCTTGTTCACATGTATATATGAGTCAAGTGAAGGACTATGAGATTCCGTACACTTGGTTGTGCGTTGGTCAGGTCCACCACAAAGATCGATAAGACTATTCGTCATGATTTACTACAGTTTAGTAAATATGGTTATGCTTACAAAATTAAGTATAATTCAAAATCATTGAAAAATTTTCAATGTACGGCAGAACGAATGAGAATAATCAAATTAGGCAGAAAGATAAAAGTTTCTCCAATCTGGAAAGATGGGAGAGTACTTTAGTATCGTGTTTTATGATCATCTTAATTGTAATGCCCAAAAACTGGTATGTGATGTGTGTAAAAGGAACTAGTTTTAATGCTCCTAACTTAGGCACAGAAACAAACACACGAAAGGTAGTGTACCTATCAATTAGCATCTTAGTTCAGGTAAGTAGGGTATCGAACACAGGGAACGGTAAACAATTAAGATTATTACTAATATTATCTAAATAAAACAAGTAAAAAAGAAGAGTTTTTCTCTAGTTTTACAAGACTAGAAACTTAAGCAACTACCTAAACTCTTTAACAAAGGACAATTAACAACTAAGGAGAAACAAAAGACAACTAGATTCAATATTGGAGGAGACTTTTGTTTAGGTTTAAATCATTTACTCCTACGGTTGATTTTATATAAAGTGCAATGGATTAATTGGCTTTGGCTGCTGATTAGTGTGATTAGGTTCACGTTCGCTATTGCTAATCCTTAGAAAACAATTTAATTCAAGCGGTGATCAAGTTATTAAACTAATAGATTTCCTAGTTTATTGATTCGGGTTAAGTAAAACTTGTAAGGAGCTAATCAAATATACTAATTCAATTAACTCCTTGTTGACGGTTCGTCACACAAGCTCACACATTAATGTACCTATTTTCCAGTTAACCCTAGTTTCACGTTCGCTATTCCTAGGCATATAACAATGTTTTCACATAAATCATATGAGATTAGCAACTAAGAGATGTTCATGCAACTTAATTACTGGTTAATTAACAGAAAATAGTAGTAATTAACACATAAGGTTCTTTAACAAGCTTAACAAAACAAAATCACCAAATTAAATTAATCAAATCATTAAATAAAACCATATTCATAAAATCATCAAACAAAATCCTAAACAGAAGTTATGAGTTTTTAGCTGAATCTACAGCAAATAACAAACTAAAATCATAATATAATGATTGAAACATGGTTCAGCAGAAGATTAAGGTAAAAATAATGTGTTCCCTATTTAAATGCCTTTTGGCCTCTTGGAACAAATCCTATCAGTCTGTATAGTCCCATTTTCTCTTCGTACAGTTGATTTAGTGTGTGAGTGAGATTTGGAGCCTAAGTAGAGGGTTTTGGTGGTTATTTTGGAGTTCTTTCAAGAAGGAGAGTTGTTAAGCAAGCTTGAATCAGTTGGGTGCTTCAAGGATCTGCTTTTGGGTCATCTTGCAAGGCTTCTGGAGATAAAAAGCTTGTACCTTTCCATGTAAATCTTTAGATCTAGCTAGGGTTTTCTAGTTTGGTCCCTTTTTGTTGGACTTTAGACCTCTTTTGGCAAGATAAGTAACTCCATGAGAGGATAATGGCAGATCTGAGGTCCCTTGGTCATTTTGAAGTATAAAAATGGAGTCTTGGTGGAAGTATTGGTCTTATGCAAGGGTTAAGGGCTTTG